TGAAAGTATTATTCGAATACCTAAAATAAAACTAAACATGAACGAATATCGTACATAAGATTTTAATTAATCTTATAATATCGGTTCAGTTGTTTTACAGCCTTAGAAACTGAGGTCTAATTATCAAAATCGATTCTTATTCCCTTACTACTTAAACTACAAAGAAAGAACATGGTATAAAGCGAAATGAAGATCCGATCATTCTTCTTTGATAAGTTTAGAACTATTTATTTATTTAAACACATAAACATTGGTGCAAGGAGGCGCCAAATATATATGCTTCACATAAATCGAATGATTAATGTGAGGACTCGGATACTGTCCGGGTGCCCAAACTGAAACAGGAGGTTTTTTTAGAGGGCCATACCTGGAGCCTTTTACCTAAAGGTCTGGTTCACAAAGAAGTGGATCAACGTTAGGATATGCAGTCTCGTGGTAGCCGATGACCAACGATAGGTTCATACACCACTTTTTCCTTCAGGATACTGGAGCCCATGTACACCATTGGTTTGAAATCAAAGTTTTCCAACTCCCCTAGGTAAACTCTCCGTTTCCTCCAACCCAGTTAAAGCGTTGGACACTCGCTTTTCGTCCTCTCAATTTCGTAAACAGCACCCCCATCACGAGAGGGCAGTGACTAGGACTTCCCTGTCAGTGGTTGTATGCACTTGACCGTGTGGGAGCATTTCGGGAGGCAGAGCTGCCTCTCCCCACTCTTTACCGTACCAAAGCATTTGGGGACTAGAATTGGACAGTCACTCACCTATCCTTGGTTTACTGTAGTTCTGAAAATCTTATAGCTTTCATAAATCAATGAATTTAATTGTTTATTTTCTGTTTAACAAAACTCATCTTTTAATAAGGGAAACTTAGTGATCTTGTGATCTTGAATAGATCTTATTTTGTTTGTTTAGTCCTAAGTGTTTTCATAAGGTTTGAATGGTTTTGTGAATATGATTAAAGCTTGTTGAATATATAAGTTAGAATGTTGAATAACATTGAACATAATTATATTATATACATATGCAGTAAACATGAGTCAATTTATATTGATACATCTTCATGAACTCAATTATGTAAATGTGTCTTGTTCTCTTTATAGTTTAGACGTAAAAATTTATTTAATAATCGAATTCATGAGTCGATTGAAGCTGAACTACCATGGAAAACCTGGAAGCACTGGAAGAGCGTTTCATCCTAGTATGGGACTCCTTAGCAATGAACATCCACGTCCCGGCCCTCCTGCGACATTCGAACCCAGGATCGATCAATCCAGTGCTTCCACGTTTTCCATGTTGGTCTAACTTCAATTGACTCATGAATTCAATTAGTAGAAATTTATCCGAAAATCTCGATTTATCTACGAGTTTTTTCGTGTTTATATGGATTCATTTGAATTCAGATAAAACTAACATGATCATTAAGTACATCACTGTAGAGATTTTTTAAGCATTCTAATTATTGCAATACAAGTATCATCTTAAATGTGACTTTAGTCAATGTTGATCTTTATCAGACATGGTTCAGAGTTCTCCTCATAGTTTCTCTAGATAATCAAAGATTTTTTTGAAAACGAATGAAGAAACTAGTGATAAGTTTCGTAAAGACTATTTTGTTAATAAAATCTCTATTCATTTGGATCCATTTGATAAATTAAAGTTTTCATAGTATGAGAACTTCAATCATCTGCAATGTCTATTATTGTTGTTATTGTTATTGTTGGCTTTATTCAATATTATATCTTCGGAACAATATATAATTCTCAGCTTAAAGTATTTCAACAAGTTTCCTTCTCTTATTTGTTGATCGATCCTGACGATAATATATTGAGTGATCGTCAGTTAGATGTTAGTAATTCCGTCAATCAACATCTGAATAATGAACATTCTTTTCAATGTATATTGTCAGCAACTACAATGTTTATGATTGAACTATTTTGTAACTTGTACAACGACATATCGTGAACTTTGCGCAAACACATCTGAATAGTTTATGCAACCAATAGGCATAATGATGTGTTAAAACAAATAAAAAAAACTTGTTGAAATATCTCGATAGCAGGAATAGGTAACCCAGATATTCAAGCAGGCCGTTGATTACTTCACATGGAATCTTTTCATTAACACACAAAAATAATAGTTCTTTAACATCATTTATACTTTTGTTTATCAGTCAGTAACAACGTAGAACTTTGTACGTACATACATCAGTTCGAGTTGCCACACCACATTAGCACAAAAACGCAGTGGTCGATTCAAATCCCGTAGTGGTAGAGGTAATAAGAGTATAAGCAGTAATCGGGAAGATTAGTGTTTGGAGATCTTATTTAAAGAGTATAATCCAGTGAAATAAATTTGAGAGGAGAAAAAAAGAGACAAGGAGGAATCAGGAGATTAAAATTTAGGAGAACACAAAGAGTGTATGCACCTGCGCCATTGCAAACGATTTTGAACCATGTCATTCAGGGTCTCTAACCATCCGTTGCTATCATCTCGCGGTCCCCAACCAGGTAGTCTACACCTACCAACATGACTCAGTCCACTTGTCAGTGACTTCATGGACTTGTGCCATGTTTTGGTTTGGTCGCCTCTAGCTTTCTTCCAACCTACTCCTATACCACTGAACATCGCACGTCGAGGCAGTCGGTCGTTGGGCATACGTAACACGTGTCCCAGCCATCTCAACTAATGAAGTTCCACTACGTCATCAATTGATTTGTCATCCTTACCTAGTACCTGTTTCCTAACAACTGCGTTACTTACTCGATGGTCCCAGGAAATACGAGCGATATTTCGAAGACATCTATGATCGAATACTAGTAATCTATGGATATCCTCTACTCTTCCCGGCCATGTTTCACAGGCATAAAGTAGGATGGAACGAACAGCTGCACAGTAGACTCGTCCTTTGGTTGGTAGACGGATATCTTACCTACGCCATAAATGACGCAAGTTGGCAAAAAGCTAGTCACACTTTTGTTTATAATAAAGTCTTGTTCATTTCCAGTCTAATATATCCATATGTATATATATATCTCATTATTATAAGAGAATATTCTATAAAGGGAAATATATGCATACTAAGAAGTCCCTTTAAAAGTGGTCTAGTTTCTCTTTTCTTTTGTTTTTAATTAGCAAAATAAAACAGTTAGAGAATAGAAGAATTGAGAATGAATGTAACACATTTATCTTTGATTCTTTCTTATCAAAATGGAATTTATTCCATCTTCTTTAATTAAGAAAATGTATCTTTTTTTCTTGTGTTTTCTTTTTCCAATTTATCATTGTGATTTCTGTTCTCTTCTTCTTCTTCCTCCTCTTCAACAACAACAACAACAACAACAACAACAACACCAACAGTAACGACACCAAAAACAAACAAAAAACAACAAAAAACGATAAAGAAAAACACCATCAACAACATGATTGTTAACAATTCATCATTATTCCCTATTTACATGATTATTATTCACCTTTTAAATAATGTTGATTATAAGAGAAAGCAGTAATCAGTTCTATTACCATTTGAATAAAGAAACATTTTACATTGTATCATAATAATGATAAAGAAAAAAAGATTATTCAGTTTGAAGACAATTGAAGTGTCTATGAGTATAGAAATGTTTCAGTTATTTTGTACATAATGAATGTACCTCTTATTATGACTTACATGGATTTGTTTAGAAGAAAGAACAATTTCGGGAATATATTGAATTCCACTTGGAAATTATACGACAGATGTTTTACTATAGAAGATCTAAAGTATAATGTAACTAAATAAATGTGTGAATGGTAAACATAAAAGTAGGGGGGACGGGGGGGGCAGGGGAGACAGAAGTTTCTATTGCCTTTATATATAAATGTCCGCCTTTAAGATTTAACAGGTATAACCGAATAATAATAATACAAGTATTAATAAAACAGTGTTTTCGGTAAATATCTACTATGAGTTAAGATAAGTATAGTTGTCAAACATCGTACATTTACACATAGTAGAATGTTCAATTGAATATACAAGAATGGAAACTTCATTTAAAGATGTTAGTTGGTTTAGTGTGAAGCGAAGGGGTGTCAATTAATTTACCAGAATACTATAAACAGATGGTATTATGACATTCATTCATTCTTTTTCTTTTTCATTTGCAAATAAATGAAAAGTGATTTACTTTTATTAACTATTCACTTATTTACGAATAGGAAGTTTATGACATAATAAACAAAGAAGAAGCTAGCCATATTAACCGATTATTAAACAAGGTATAGTGTATAATTGATCAATATAGTTGTCAATATTGACAGGTAACTATTTTAAACAAATAAGTAAGAAAAAAACACAATCATAACTATAAATTCACTTGATAGTGTTTCTTTGAATCTTCTCATTGATGTTTACGACTGTAATTGTTCAGTGTCTTATTAGCATATATGTATATTGTGCAGACGGCCTCGATATTGCCTTGAGTCACGAATGTGATAAGTAAAGACGAATGATGGCTAGCAGTGAAATCTAGTACACGTGTTTCGGCCTATTTCGGGCTTGTCAACTGAATGTACCTATATCTCAGAGTTGATGTTCAGTCTGGGACTCAGATCCAGTATCGTTCACATCAAACTTCATCACGTTATCCACTTAGCTACTGAGTTCTGATAGCCAATCATGACTATATTATAGGGTATAAATAAATCAGACAGTTCATACACTTACTGGATCATTCGAATAAGAAAGCTGTTCATACTGATATGTATCCTTAAACCTATATAGAATAGTTGACTGACAAACATAAATGGTTAGCTGTATAGTTTTATAATACATTCTCTAGTACATTTTGTTTCATTTTAGTGAATAACACTGATTTAAAATGGGAAATTTTCGAGAAACAATACTGTATCTATTCATTAATGATGATGTAAGATCCACCCTGATATCCTGTTTCATCAATCATGTTCTTAAGTTTTATCAGTAATTCCGTAACGTAATGTTTGGAAAAAGAAGGTTTTTACATGTATCATATATTCTTAGTCTATGTCTTATTAACCGGTGGATTGAAATGGCGAATTTATTTTAATGATGATAACCAATTAGCTTATAATCTAGGTATATGGCTTCGCCTTATTTGCTTCAAATTCACTGACATGAACACACAGTTCTCAGTGATTAAAACTAGTTACAATACAGACATTTTGATCGACTGTCAAATATAAAATCGGTTTCTGAAATGTAGTCCAGTAGTATTGATATGCTTGACTGCTATTACGAGTTCACCTAACTCGGTAAACGGAACGAAGGTCAAAGATATAATGACACGATAGGTTATTCTAATCCGTTCACCCCGGCCCTGATAACTAGATCAAGAAGTCTTGATGAGGCGTAGAGAATGTATTTTACAAGCACTCAGAAAATGCGAAATCAGTAAGCATACAAATCAAGCTTATTCATACAATACTAGAAACACTCTTGGGAGAGCCACAAAATAGCGTACTAAAAAAATCCGTCAACCAATGATGGTCAGGGATTTCCAAGTGGGAAGCTGTAGGTCTTGGCGCGAAAACATAAAATTCAAATTTTCTGAATAAAATTACAAACTCAGGACCTTTTCCAAGTGAGTTCTGGGGATCTAACATCCTCAACAACTATAGTATTTCATTTATCAAATTCCTCATTTCCATTTATAAAATATTAGTATAGTTTAAACAATAACATCATATAATTCATGTTAAATCTTTCTAGATCATTGTCAATACAAAACCTATTCAGATGAATTCCCATCTTCTTCACCATCTTCAGATAATGGATCAATAATGAATCGTGATCTTTCAAAATCTTCAACATTGTTTACATTGAATCAACCATCTAATAATAATAATAATAATCATACTCAATCATATTATAATACAACAATAATAAATCCAACTGAATCAAGTCTATATCATGATGAATCAGTTTTAAATCATTGTCATGATGATAGTTTCAATAATAAAGTCAACAGCTTACATAATAATGATAATAATGACAATACTACTACTAATACTACTATTAATACTACTAATAATCGTCCAACAATCAATTCTATTATAACAAGTCCAATATTATCAAATTTTTCTAATTCATCATCATCATGTTTAAGTCTGACAAATTTACATGAAAAACGTAAACAACGTAGAATTCGTACAACATTTACTAGTTTACAATTGAAAGAACTTGAAAAAGCATTTCAAGAGACACATTATCCTGATATTTATACTAGAGAAGATTTAGCATTAAGAATCGATCTTACTGAAGCTAGAGTTCAGGTAAAAATTGTACTTCTTGAATATATATACATTGTTATTCAGTAGTTATTCAGTAGTAAAGTGGAATAAACTATCATTTTTAACAGTAGCCACTGGACGGCCGTCTCATCCTAGTATGGGACTCCTCAGTAGTGCACATTCATGATCTCCTCTCTAATTATAATCATCATATGTCCACTAGTGACTGGCTTCAAAAGGTATTTTTTTGAGTTATAGTGAGAAGCAGTGACCATTGGATTTCAACTGGGTTAGTTATGAGATAGTAACTCACTGAAAAAAATGGTAGATGTGTCACTCAATTTCGTGGATTAGTTGAATTTAGACATTAACACCGTTGGATGGCGGCCAGCTCAGTGGTCAAGAGGTTAAGCGCCTGGATCTAAACTGATAGGTCATGGGTTGGAAGTTTGCGAGGTGGGATCATCGATGCGCACTGCTGAGGATTCTCACAGTGGGACGAAACGGCCGTCCAGTGCTTCTCGGTTTTCCTTGATGGTCTAACTTGGATTTAATCATGAATTCAAAGTTAAAATTACTACAATCACCACAAAGCCCCTCCTTGAAATGAATATAATCATATATTTATTATTGTGCAATTAGTATTTTGTGAACTGTTGAATTTGGTTAATGTATGGAGCTACTCTATATGTGGCTTTGATTAGACGAATATTTAGAGATTATTGTTTATTATGAGAGCAAATTGAGGTAATGGGAAAATGCAATGTTGACTGTTTCGGAAGTAAAACTATCACGATGAGTAGCATTGCAGTGGCTTTTTTACTTTCACATTTAACCACTAATTTTGCAATAACAATGAATATCTTGTCCTTATAAAGTTGGTATTACAACAAACTAACTATCATTAAATAGTAATATAGTGAACGAGAACACAAGTGGGGAACAGTGAGCCCCTAAATGCCCTGGTACGGCTGAGAGCGGGGAGAGTCCGCTCTCCATCTCCAAATGCTCTTACATGGCCACGCGTATACAGCCTCTGCCAGGGAAGTCCTACTCACTGCCTTCTCGCACCACGGGTGTTGTTTACGAAATTGAGAGCACGTAAAGCGAATATCCGGCGCTTTAACCTGGTTCGTGGAAACGAAGAGTCCATCTAGGGGAGTTAGAAAACCCTGATTCCAAACCACTGGTGCACATGGGCTCCAGTATCCTGAAGCAACAAATCTTGTATGAACCAATCGTTGGTCACCGGCTACCATGGGAATGAATCTCCTTACGATGCTCCACTGCGTTTTGGATCAGACCTGTAAGTCGAAGGCTCGGGATGTGGCTCCCTAAGAAAACAACCTGCTTCGGTTTGGGCACCCGGTCAGTATTGCAGCCCTCACACATATCAAATGAGATTTGTGTGGCGCATATGTATTTGGTGCCTCTTTGTACGAATATCTATGTGTTCAAATAATAAATAATAATAATACAAGTGGGGACAATCGAATGTATTTGAATACAAAATTACAGAACATCTTGGTAAAATGTGACAACCATACAGTAAATACTTCATTTGCGAAATGTCAATCAATCGTCGCAGATTTTACTGTCCCTTCATTTCCACACTGATCATTCACTGTACTCATTCTCTCTTTCTTCGATCTTCTTAACCCTCTGTTGCTAGGTATTTCACTTACGATTGATGATACATCAGTAGCACACACCACAATAAGAATAAACAAAAAACGGTACAAATCATTTGTTTAAAATAATTCTTAGTGAAAAGAAACCATTAACATATTGTCTTAATTAAGAATCACTATGTACTACAATTATTATAGTTGAATATTTACACTTCTCTTTATTGAAGAAAACATGTAAAAGCTTGAAACATATAGTAAGTTAGAATAGCATGGAAATTTGTTCGTTACTTATATTCGAGTTTATTATTTCGAATGAAAGATATCTGATCTATTGGATTCAATTTGACTTCAAGTTGACCAGACCAACTTTGTTAATTCTGACTAGTTATTGACCAACCTATTCTTCACATACTGAAATATTCATTTCAATTATATGAGTAGTCCACCTTTTCAAACTATGATGAATGTTTCTTTATAGAAGGTATACTTATTAACTATTTAATGAAAATGAATCGATGAAATTAGAGTTCCCACTTACATGGAAAGTTTGACAATTGAAATATTGTTGTTTACATTCTAAGTAAAGATGGATAGTGGTTAGCAATGGAATCCAGGATGCATGTTTCGTCCTAGTATCCATCTTTGCATAGAATGCTTGTGAATTAAGGCAATATCAAGGTGATATGCACAGGATGCACATTTGCCAATAAGAGATTGATCAGTTGGATTCATGAACGTCTATGAGACGATCCAAATAAGCATTACCAAGTGAAATGTTGTTTATAGTTATTTCATTATGGTTTAGTGGAGAAGTTCTTTCTTTATAATTCGATAGATACTTTCTTGATAAAGGTGTAATAAATCTGAATCTGAGAATGAATTTATCAAAGTGAAATACTTGTTTCCATTCTGAAATGACTTTATATTAATAATAAGAGATACTAATCAACATATGCTCACTAGTGACTGGCTTCAAGATATATATCCTAGATTTCTAGTGAGAATCAGTGACCAGTCGAGCTCAACTGGGTCAGTTGTGAGGTAGTAACTCACTGATGACAATCTTGGATGCGTCGCTCAATTTCGTTGACTGGTTGAATTTAGACATTAACACCGTTGGATGCCGGCTCAGTGGTTTAGTTGGTTAAGCGCCTGGCGTCAAACTAATAGGTCATGGGTTCGAACCCCCCAAGGCAGGGGCGTGGTTGCGCATTGTTGAGGAGTCCCGCGATAGGACTAAACGGCTGTCCAGCGCTTCGAGGTTTTCCATGGTCGTCTAGCTTCAATTGACTCATGGTCTCAACTGTTTAAATAAGGGAACTACTAAAACAATGTAATCGTAATTGTTTCTCGTTCTTCGTTGATTTGGCTACAGTGCTTAAAATCTGACCATGTACTTTACTTATATTATTATCTTGTAAAGCAGATTATTATACATATGTAATTCTGTAATTTTGGGGGAAATGATGCCAACTGACGGATTCGATCCCTTGTCGTCCACTGATCAATCAACTGTGAGAACGTCCCAGTCCTACAGGAGGTCAGTCGAGGCCTGGATAACTCAGTGATGATGTCTTTGACTGTGAAGCTGGGTGATACGGGGTCGAACCCGACACAGAGCACCAGGGCACTCAGTATTACAGGAACACCATGCTGACGAGTGACAAATAGCACGAAACCTAGGTCCAGGGTTTCCTGTTAATTACATCCAACCACCATCTTATTTCAACATAGTGCACGAAATGTCGAGTTACATAGACTAGTGACCACACTGCAACTTGATCAATAGGATTCGATCTACACTAAAAAGCACCTGACATACATGGAATTGATCACGACACAGTGATAGATCAATTGTGAAGACATTTGTAATCCATTTTGAAGTAAATTGTACCACTTTATGTAGTAACTAAATGGAAAGCAGTTTTTTTTGTGGTCTTTGAATTATTTATTTCCATTTTTTCACCCCGAAGGTTTGGTTTCAAAATCGACGTGCAAAATTTCGTAAAACTGAACGTGTTATTCAACCAGATACTACAACAATCACATCATCATCACCATCATCAACAACAACAACAATAAATATAAACAATATTGAACATACTAATCCATCCTTATCATCAACTATTCAACACACATCAACGGATCATTCAATGCATAATACAAAATTACATTCAACTACTTTATTAGATCATCAAGAGAAACTTCACAAAGTAATTGATCCTTACAATTCGATTGATAAACATGAAACAATCAATACTGATGATGTAATGATGAATAGAAATAAAGAAATGGATTATCTACCCCTATCATCCACCTCACCATTATCCTATAATTCACAAGATGAATTAAATTATACTAAAGAAATGTATGAAACATTTAAAAAATCGGAACAAATTCAATTCACAAATGAATTTTATCCATCATCATTTAAAGATTCCCTATTTTCAGTAATACAAAAATCAAGTTCAATAATACCAAATCAATCATATAGAGATTGGTCAACTACTTATCCATTGAAAGATAATGATTCTATAAATAGTAATATCGTTAATAATGATGCTACTACTACTACTACTAATAATAATAATAATAATAGTAATATACATCCTTTATATAAACTTACACAAACATGTAGACAAGTAGATAGATTATTAGTTGGTGGAACATATGATACAACATCAAGTACATTACATAAGAAAATGTCAGATAAACAACAAAAGTTTATGAATAAAAAAAAATAAACAAAAAATTATTAATGACTTGTTTCTATGAGAAAATGAAAATCTTTTTTTGGTGGTGGTGGTGGCGGTGATAGTGGTGCTGGAGGGGACGGGGTGAAATTAATACAATTTCTTTCATTTATTAATATCCATTCATGATTTACATTTTGTTCATATTCAACATACATAAATTGGTCATTCCTTAATTATTCTAATTAATTTTCTTGTTATTTCAATAAAATGTTCATCACTATGATGGTTAAACAACTAACATATGAATGCTATTTACTAATAAATTCATTATACATTATGGTTTTTTTTGTTGACTATTCATTATTATATCATAACTATTAATTTTAATGGTTGAAATCATGAGTCCATTGAAGCTAGACCATCATGGAAAACCTAGAAACACTGGACGGCCGTTTCGTCCCACTGTGAGAATCCTCAGCAGTGCACATCCACGATCCCACCTCGCGAGATTCCAACCCAAGACTTATCAGTCTGGTGCGCGAATGCTTAACATATAGACCACTGAGCTGGCCGCCAACCAACGGTGTTAATATCTAAATTCAACTAATCCACGAAATTGAGTGACACATCCACCATTTTCTTCAGTGACTTACTATCTCATAACTGACCCGGTTGAAATCCACTGGTCACTACTTCTCATTGTAACTCCAATAAATACCTCTTGGAGACAGTCAATAGTGAGTATATGTTGATTAGTATCAGAAGTCTCACAATAGGACGAAACGGCCATCCAGTGCTTCCAACTTTTCCACGGCGGTTTAGTGTCATTTGACTCATCATCACAACTATTAAATTACTATAATATCCAAAAAACCCATTCTGATCATAAATATTAATTAGAGAATGGTGTCATGAACGGGAACACAAATGAGGACAATCGGTTGTTCTTTGGCAAAATGTGTAAACCATATGTTCAATACTTCATTTGAAAATTCTTCCTCAGTTGTTCCAAGCTTCGTCAGTCCTTCATTATCACAATAATTAGTCACTGTTCTCGTTCACTTCGATTCGATCTCTCTAATGTTCTGCTGTCAGGTATTCTACTTTTGTTTTGTTTTATATACTGCTTATATCGACATGAGTAGTATACACTGCACGGAACTAGAAGAGAATATTAAAATTAAAACTGAAAGTTTCATCAGTAAATTTCATTACAAAACTTGATAATTAAATACTAATAAGCATTCTAGATAGGAAAAATTCTGCTCATTAGATTGAAGCGGATCCATTAAACTATATAAGACAGTATAATTTTGTACTGTGTGTTGTTGAGTGGCTGGAGTCATTTTGGAGCAAACCATTTGTCTGAAAATTAAGATAGTTGCAATTTATCCGCAAGACATCTCTAAGATCTTCGGAGAATTGATGTTCTTTGTGAGGTTGAAACTCTTATCACTGTGTCTCGATAAACGTCCTTAACATTGTATCAGACAAAATGAAATTCTTATGAGTTTGTCGTGACCTTCATGATCTAGAAGTAAAATTCCCATCCAAACTGCGGGAAATTATCTTAAGTCTTTATAACTGCTTTATATTATTCGATCAATCCTAGGGAGTAACAACAACAATTAGGATGGAAGATAATCAAAGAGTAAATCAAATGGAATGTGAAAATGAATACATTTTACTACATTTGTATCGGCATTTTCAGCAGTTGAGGATAAAGTGAGTAAATCAGCTGTGCTGAGTAATTTATTTAAAGCGAACCCAACATTTATTAGCCATAAAGCCTAGTGAATGCCTTTTCCATGAATCGCGTCAGTGTAACTCTGCAGTATGATTTTCATGTATGTATTTTTTTCATTTCTAAACGTTAACTAATATGGGTGCAATAAGGAGTGCTGGGTTATTTCTTCAATGGTTATTTTAATTAATAATAATTATTTTTGATGGTTTTATTATGATCATGGATCGATCAATTTTAGACCACTATTGAGAACCTAGAAGTGCTGAAACGCCGCTTTGTGCTAGTATTGGATTCCTCAGCAATATGAATTCACGCGGGATTCAAACCCAGGACCATCGATTTCCTGTGAACATAGCCTCTAGACTACTAAGGCGACATCCGACAGTGTTAATATTTAACTTCAAACGAAAGATATACCTTTATGAGCATCCAAACAAATATTCATCTTCATATAATACATCGTGTGAATGGATGCTAGTCAGTTCGATTATCTTCAACGAAACATACTTGTTGCAAGTTATGTTAATAAGAAATTAATGGATAATTTCCTACATTATGTCCAGATAATTAGTCAATTTAAAAAAGGAAACATGAATAGCAAATTGGCAGACTAGTATTCGACAAACTAAACTGATATTATCATTACTTCATTTTATCTGACGTTACTATGGAACAAACATTTTTTCTGGAGTCATAGAATTCATCCCGCTATCATTTAACTTATCGACATAAACTAAAAGGTATATCAAGGTATCATTATAATCTTGACATTCGAAAAGTTATCAAAACTGATTTATCATGATGTTGTGAAGCTGGGAGCAGATGTTCAAAGTTACTTAGAAAATACTACCATGAAAGTAGGTGACGTGATTTCGAATTTCACTGATGGAGTCATTTTCCTTAAGACTACAAAAAACCAACTTTCTAGAAAGTTCTTTAAACCGCATAATATAAAGTTGCTTTTCTAAAGAGATCTTTTAACGGATTTCGTGTTGAAATTGATGATGATGTTCATTTGACTGTTTAATAAATGTTACTGTGCTAAGTGAATTTCTTATTCTACATACAAGGATAAGTCTTGATGTTTTACTGCATAGTAGACTTCAGTACATGTACATTAGTATAGATCTCCTTTCGTAATGTCTTGCATAAACACATAACTTGTAAACCTAAAATTTTTGAACAATAAAATTATTCACTTAGATGTGATTATAGTCTTTGAACCTTCTTATTAGGAAGGAATCATTTACTTGCATACGACGTCAAGAATCACTTAAAGAATCCTTCATGTGGCAAATATTAATAGCATCAGTTCTCTTATGATTACAGGTACACCATGCCGACGAGTGTCAAATATCACGAAACTTAGGTGCAGGGTTTCCTGTTAACTACATCCAACCACCATCTTATTTTAACATATTGAACGCAATATCGAGTCACCTAGGCTAGTGGCCACATTTTAACATGGTCAATAGGACTCGATCTACACTAAGAAGGACCTTACATACATGACATTGATCACAACCCAGTGATCAACTAATTGTAAATAGAAATATCCAAATAAACACTCTATGTATGTAACTATTCACACTATCATATTATCATAAACTTCCACTAAATGTTTATATTGAATTCATTTCAGTAATGTTTAGTAAAAGCAGCTATACTGGAATGTTCTATACTACGTTTTTATTAAGAGACAAAAATGACCTAGATGGTAGTCAAACGTTCTATCGTAGTTTTCAATTACAGTAAAATGATTTAAACACCGTATGGATCTTCAAAACCATAAAGTATCATTCAACATCAAATAAGTACAAAGCTCATCATAAATATTGTATATGCCTACTAACCAGAAACATCATCACTTAACAAAAGAACTTGTAGTGTTGGTTGCCATGTCAAGCACACATAACTTATTCTGGATTCCGAACAAGCCACTTATTTTAATGACTAATAAACTGAATTTATCTTGAAGTCAGCTTTGATGGATGATTCAAGTAAGTGACTAGTTATATTTCTTATTTCGACAATTCATAGACCTTTCTTAATCATCATGTCTTCAAACCTATCTGTATGGATTGCTATGAAAGATAAGGTGTTATTACTTTTGATGGCTGACTATTTTTTGCATTATTTCATTATTTACATGATGTGTATCAATCTTTTTAAGTTTGCAAGGACTTGTATTCTCCAATTATTGTTGTTAAGAATCTCAAATGACCAGTTTCTTTAGGCAAATGTGGATCCTGATCAGATTACCTCTACATTAGCTTATAGTCAGAAGTTATAGTAATTCTGGAAAGCGAATTCCAGTAACATGCATTTACATACACTTTATGGGTCAAAAGCAGAACTAAAAGGACATCATGTACTCCACCGACCACCGATCCACAATGTTACTGAATCTTGAGTGTTTCCTCCGTTAAATACAAATTCTGTGATATTCTGTCCAACCAGTACACTATGTAGCCAAATTGTCTTCGCCTTTGAGATGGTGGAGAAGATTTGTAGCTCAGGTGGATGATTTTGGTGGAGTTTTGTTCTCTGAGCTGGATGGTTTGGTCAGCTCAGAGAACAAAACTCCACCAAAATGTCTTCGCCTTTGTAAGCTATCGTGCTGTTTCTAGGACAACCGAAGTAAAACATTTAGTGGATGTTGGTACATATTAATCCTCAATGATTTAGTGAACAGGAATTTACATTCTGATTCGTAACATAGTAGTAGTATTAAATTTTTAACTTCTCATCCAAAATTCTGCCCACTATCTCCGTACTCCCGAATTCATCATAGAGCTTCATCTTTCAGCAACTTTCTTATTTTTGTTGATACAAGTGCAACTAAGTACCATATATATATAATTGTCTGAAAAACTGCGTTGAATAAACTCTGATAAACGAAACTTGTATACGTAGGACAATCACAATGTTTTAAATTTCACAGTTAATGTGTAGCTACTTATTTATGTTTTAAGTAGTTACATGAAACTCGTTAATTTTTTAAAGTCTGGGAAGATATTTCAACAAAAAATCCGATAAACATCTCAGTTACATTTATAATTTAAACATGTAGTCTTATGAGTATTTATTTCGATAAACTGATTGTAGGTGAGATTAGAACTTTATGTCTTTTAAAACAATGTTAACGAACTAAGATTTTTTTCTCCTGTTTTCGGAACTCTAAATAAACTACTTTAATAAAGATGAATTTTAAGATTTTTATCTCATTTAATCAAACGGATGAGGAGAAGAAGAAGAAGAATAGGAAGAAGAAAAAATACTACAGAGTAAGCTGAACATCACAGATAAAGTTTTGTAATGAAAAAAGACAGTGTTTTTC